CATGCTAGAATCTTTAAAATATCACATAGGACCAAGGTCAAACGAATTACTACATAGGCGGCGTTTTTTTTTTTTTTTGGGTATTTTTTTCCTTACAAATAATTATCACCATTTATTGTTAAAAAAGATTTTCAGCCCATCTCAATGATGATCAAATGATATTTCATACTCATCTTTAATGTGAAACGTTAAGATTATATTTGAGTGGTGTAGATCTTATTTTGTTTATAATTTGGTACTTCTTATTTGAAAGAAACAAAGTAAAGAGTGAAATAATTCTTCCACTTTGATATGTTTGTGCGTGTAAGTGGGTGGATGTGTCTCTCTTTCTTTTGAAGAAGTGCAAGATTAGTAGTAAAATTAAAAAAGAAGAAGAAGAAGAAAAGCTGCCAGTCCCGATTTCATCCTAAAATTAATTCATTATTTATGAATTAAATAATATATATATATATATATATATATTCTGTACAAAAGATAGTTTTGTATCAGATGATACTCTGATCAGCTCGAACTGTTATTGTATGATGTATCCTGTGAACAATACCACCTGTTAAAGCTTATTCCCCAGCACAGAGCTACAATCGTGAAGCATACGAAGAATTGATGGAATTCTTGAGTAGACACTCATTGAATGATGGTGACATGTTCTGTGCCAGCATGATGCGAGAATCATCTAGACATAAGAGCTTAGGTAAGTTCAACGTTGAAATCGACAAGTTACTCTAAAATCAGTTGTTGTCTTAGCATTTGGATTAATAATCTTTTCCTGATTGAAATCTATGTAAAATTAATGCTGTGCAACTATGGCTTGTACGTGAATAGCTCTCCGCATACTCGAGGTTAGTGGATTTCTTGGTTACGATGTGGTTTTCAATATTCCCACTTGCTAAACTCTGATTAAGACTTTGATGTATCATTTTAGGTGAGATCAGCATACTGCAAACAAGACTTTGAATGGGACAACCTAAAGCGCGTCGCTGTTAAGGTAAGTAATCCTGCAATATTTTCTTGTTATTTAGAAAGTTGATGTTGCTTAAAGAAAATTTCTTGACGGTAAGCCCAGAAGTATGATGAAGAAATACACTCATGTTCCTCTATGATGGGATCAGGGTGTTTATCTTGTTTAGGTTGGGTTGGAAAGTTTTGAGCTTTAGATCTTTTATAGTTTTCAAATTGTTCAAATTTAATTTAAATAGGCTGAATTTTTTTTTACTTTTGATATTTATTGTAATTTTGAAAAGACAGAATGTAAAATAATAATTTTTTATTGTTAGACTTAAAAATAGTGATGATATAGATTAAAAATAAGATAATAAGTTTAAGGTCATCCAAATGAAATTTTGAAGATTTAGAGAAATGAAGATGGCTCATAGCTATGGTTCCAAATTCACTTAGCACCAAATGAAGATGGCTCATAGCTATGTTTTTAATATTTTTTAATATATAAAAAATTCTAAAATAAAGGTAATTTTCTATCACTTTGTAAAAAAAAATTATTTTTGAAAATTATATATTACAATAATTTAAGTTTAAACCGTCTAAATCTAATTTGAATAATCTAGATTTTATTAAAACGATTAACACCTCATTGTTAATCACTCATCATTTCAAGGAGCATTTAACTGTAGACACACCCATATATCAATTGTTTAATAAACTATTTGCAATAAAAAAGTTCACATATTTATATATATTAAATATACTATTTACAAGTGTGCATTGCACCTCCCCATGCTCTCAGTTAGGCCAGAATCTAGTTTATCGAGATATATAAAAGTTGAATCTATTAGTAGCCGTATGAATGCATGGTATTGTTGGCTGTCCGTGTGCGTTGCAGATGGTCAATGAATCAAACACGAGGCTGATGAGGGAGTATATCTCGGAAACAAGTCCTGTAGAAACTGAAATATGAATCATGCCTTCTGTTGCCTCACCAGATTGCACTATAGCCCTCTATGTACAGAGTATTTTATTCATACATGTCTGTGGAGAACTAAACTATACGTCTCTTTGTTAATCATAGAGTCCTGTAGATGTAGACAGTTATGATCAGACACAGAATAAATTCCAAATGATTGGGCTTGATATTTATTGTAAAGACCCAGTTCTGTATACCTGTGTTACAACCTCAGCCAGCAGAATAAAGTCCTAAACCTTAAATTGATACTCTTTTCCGTCCTAATTATCGGACAAGGTTAACCAACTTCGTGATTCTTATGGAATCTCAATAGCCAACTTGGTTATAAAAAATGCTAATATGGGAATATGTCACGTTAACATTATTTGATAGACAACCTTCTTATTCCAAGTCCAATATTACACTTGAGGTGCTATGCTATACAAAGCCTTGACAGACACAACCAGGTAGGAACTGTGAGCCGTGGCCAATTCTCCCACGTGCCTTTCATTATAAGAGTAGTTCTTCAGTATTGTGAATAAAAACCCATGGATCAGTATGTAGTTTTCCATCATATTACCAAAATCTTGGTTTGGATGGTAATGAGCTGCAATTATTCTCTGGACAGGTCACAGATGTGACCAAATTTTACTAGTAAAAAAGCTTCTTCATAATCTAGACCTGTATGCAATGAAACCATCCTTGAAATAAAACGTCCCCGTCATACTCTGTTCAAGCAGACATCAAAATTTCTTGTCACTCCAAGATTTTCATGGCTGCAAATAACACCAAATGGATTTAAGGGACCCAAAAATAGAGGAAGAAAGAAAGAAAAGGTCAAGCTTAATAGGAGAAAGGTGGTCTGCCGTCTATGAGCTTTGTCTCCACACATTTGCACACATGTTTATATAAACAACGGAACTCGCATGAAAATGAATCGACAATCAAAATGAAGTTATTACCTCGACAATACAACGGAGATCACTTGAAGCGTGAATATCACCAGTGCTGAGATATGAATGTGCGAATTCATCAATATGCTCCAGCCTGAAATTAATGTCAAATCACAGTGAACTTGTGAACAAATCACCCATGAAATTAAATGTGGTTGGTTGGAGGAATATGAAAGGAAGGGGAGATTCAAATTAATTGGGTTTTAAAAAAATGGAGAAGTGGAGTTAAAATATTTTAATTTTTGTTGCTCAATTAATTTACATAATGTCTTTATTAAAATTTTATAATCCCATTTATCCCCCCCCCCTTTTTTTTCAAATCGAAGTCATTAAAAATTACCCCGCCCCTCCCCTTTATTCCCCGCCAGCCAAATAAGGAATAATATCTTCGGGATAACTACCAACAAAATGGACTGAAGTTTACACATAAAGTAATATGATAACTTTTTTTTTTTTTGCCAGAAGACCATTCATATCATTAAAATGCGTTCATATGGTTGTGCATTCACGTCAAACACCACAAACTTCATAAAACTACACCAGGTTGCTCCATTGGTAATATTTCTCCCCAAACTTCACCAACTTCTATTATCAGTAGAACTAAGGCACTTCTATTATCAGCAGAACTAAGGCAAGCGGTGTAAGAGGAAGTTTTATTATCAAGTAAGTTACATGATTTTAGATAAGTTAGTCAACAAGACACATAATAAGCTGGCATTTTTAATAAAATGGTGACTGGGGTAAAGATTACATATAGACATAGTTCACCATGATGCTTCCACTTTGAGATAGGCCTTTTTCTGACCGATCAGCCATCCAGTTTATTCTCTCAATCATCTATTACAAATTCAGAATAAAAAAGTTATTCATTCGGATAGAAACTAACATAAGTTATTCATGGGCATCCTTAATAACTTATGCTTTTAAGCTAAGAAGGTTCTTCACATCGTATCAAGGTTTCTATCATTGAGTAATCCAAAGTATTTTTGTATCAGAAAATGTGTTAATAAATTATACTAACATTATTGATAATCCTTCACAAACAGCATAAACTTTTTAAACTGAAACGTCCTTGACAAACGCTACTTAAGACTAGAAACTACATGTAACTTTTTTCCAAGAACATTGATTTCCTTTTAGGAAAAATGTCAGTGAAAAAATTATCTCATACCAGTTCACAGTGAAAAGACCATGAAAGACGTTAAAACACATAACAGTAAATCTCGTACTAAAAGGAAACTACTGATTTCACAAAGAATTGCCGAGAACTGAGAAGTTGATTGACTGTTGAATAAGGCTGCATGACATACCGCTCCATTTTGCAAGTGAAAATTTGCTACTGAATCTAACGCTCTTCCTCTTTTCTTCTCTTGAAGAAGGTATCTACAATATGAGAAAAATATTATTTACCATTTGATGAACTCAGTTCAAGTTATCCAACACTCTTCTTTTTGTTTTTTGCATATGGTCCAACACTCTTCTTTTATTCTCTAGAAAAATTAAATAAATAAATAAATGATGAGAACAGAATACTCGAGTACAATCCCTATAAACTGTTTGTAATACCTGGCACATAATCGCATCAGAAGGGGTTGTAATACGGACAGCATTTCTGTTGATTTGGTCCACTTGTGGTCTGTAGAAGTCAGCAAGTTGAACATCACTTCCATTCCATTTTTTCCATTGGCGATATCTCTGCAACTCATATAGATGTTAAGCACACGTTAAAACCAAGTATAATGGATGTCCCTGACACAAATTATCATTAATTCAATGATAATAGCTAAAGCACCCAAGGAAGGATTTTGAATGCCTCAAAGCTAGAAACGTAACACTTCAACAACAAAAGTTCAAAACCAAGTATCACCAGAGGACAAACCCTAATGAGTTGTGATTGACTCAGAATTAGACTAATATGAATATCAACGCTTTGCTAGTGCAAACATAACATGCAATTAGAGACAGACTGAGAGCTGAAAGCAACTTCTAAGATTGGAAGATCTTCAATATTTTTCTGAAGATCCGTTGCAGATTTGGGCCTCCTTTCAATGTAGTCACCATATTCATTTGACTTTCCATTTCCACTTTAAATAAAGGGCAGCCCATCTATGTATATTATAAGAGTAAGTCCATTTCACTGTTTCCATATAAGCCATGCTTCACTGGGTTTTGTCTCCCTCTCACTGCTAAAAGTTGAATTTGTTTTGTGCATAGCATGGCTGGCCATGCACTAGTTGCGTCCCAATAATGACAGACAGACTGAATACAGACTACTCTCGAAGCAAATATGGACCAAAACATAATTTTTCGAATGAATATAATTATAGAATAGTACATATGTTACTTTGATATACTCATAAGTGCCCTTTCTTCTTCTGGTTTAAGTATATTCTCCCAGAATGTGGAACTGGATCCCTCAGCCAGTGATTGTGATGAGTCTGATTCAGCAAGTATTGATTGTGATGCCAACTTGGATAGAAGCCACTGCATGAATCCTGGGATGGGACTCAGAGTTGCAAATGTCTGCAAGCAAGAATTGAAAATTGATTGATAAAGCAAGATGCACAATGATTTAGTACATAACATATCACAACAATCTAAGAGACATGTCATTTGTCAAGGAATGTCGCATGTTCTAACAATTTTTCGACTTGAAGCATATCAACTTTAGACATTACTCTTCCATGATGACGAAAGCAATATATTAATTTTGGAGTCACTGAAAAATATTGGCATGTCATTTTTATGGTACTCCTCCAAGTACAACTAGTCACTGAAAAATATTGGCATATCAGTTTCAGTTTTGATAGAAGAAAAGAAATACAAGAAGCAAGAAATTAAAAGGCGCAACCAAAAAGTCATATGCATCTTAAACTTGGCAGATTTTTCCATCGGAGCCCGGTGACCAATTTGTTCAATAATTTCTTCAGGTTTTAGCCATTTTCAGCGAATCAACTATTCCAATCTCATTATATAACATAATGGATTGCTTCAGCTAGCTGAAGCCCCAAATAGAATTTTCTAATTTAAAATGAAAGGGACTTTACTCCTAGATGTGAACTTTATGTTAGAGATATTCAAGGAAATGCCTTTACTCTCCAAGAAGAATATACAAGAAATTAAAGGCAATAATTTCCCCCAACAAAGAAAAGGTAAAAATAGAAGACAGAAAGGTGATCGACAGACAGTGTCATATACGATACTATTATTAAGTCAAAACCAAGAAAATGAATGAACTATAAATTGAAACTAAGATATGATGATGATGATGATGATGATGATGATGATGCCTTCACAAAGTCTTTGAAGCAAGAAACTTCATTTGATCATATCCTTCAAATTCATAGAGCTCCATGAATTTGTTAAAATACTTACAGAGATATGTGGCATTTCCCGTTTCACCAGTGTTATAACACGTTTGATGAGAAACTTTCCTAAGTTGATCCCTGATAAGCCAGGCTGCAAAATTTCAGAACTAGTCCATCCAGGTAAGTGCAAGAAAATTTTCAATTTCTGGAAAACTACCTCCACTATTTATCATTTCCTTAGGAGAGGAAAAGGTCACTGATGGGATACGTAGAAAAGTAAACAGATTTTATTTTCCAAAACAAGAAAGCAAACAGGTATTTGAAACAAGAATAACTTAAAGAAATCAGAAAACATGAATAAAGGGAAAATTAAATCAGAACAGAAATACATATCAGTGAGATGAAACCCCAAGAAAACAAGGCACACCTCACATTTCACTCAGGATGATCTAACCAACCTTTGCCACAATGTACAGTCTAGTTTCTACTATAATTAATCATTCTTTGTGTTTCTTGTAGCATATGCCATACCTGAGTTGATGAAATGGAGTAGAATAATGCACATGTTGCCTCATTTTCAGGTATAGGAGGACTATCCCACAAAACTTCCTGAGAAGCCAAAAAAAAAAAAATTACATAACATAGAAAGAAGGAAAAAAAATATACTGACCAAGGTTATGTGAAGTCCAAAGAAAATTAACCTGTATAGTCTGAGCTACATTCTTAAGAAGCGCAACTTCAATGAAAATTAAGGGTTCACCTGAGGAGGGGAAAAACAGCATACTTAAACACGTCAAATAATGTAACGCATATAAAGTTCATGCATATAATTGTAATATGACGACCACTCAAACCCTTAGTCAGTTGGTATTTATATGCAAGAATGGTGACACTAAATTCAATTTCCATGTTATTTCACATGAGAAACAAATAAAAGAACAAGTAAACATGCTGACCATCAGAAACTTTTGGCTGTATAGTAATTACTTTTTGACCAGTGACTAATTTACCTTTAATTCTGTCACCCAGTTCCTGAGTGAATATTAGTTCATTGGCTTTAAAAAAAAAAAAATTATGGCCATGTGTGTAGTAAATCCATTTTAAAAAGGAGCTATGTCATTACATTAATGAAATTTCAACTGCGTAACGGTATGACTAGCACAAATTGCAGAGATGCCAAAGAACATTAAATGGATCGGGTAGTATTGCCAAGAAGAAGTGAGCTATCTTCAGCTGGCCAAAAGTTAAGAGAATCACTGACCAGGAATTGCTGGATGTAAATATCCAAAACAACGACGGCCAACTCCCAGCCTTCTCTTAAGATCCAAAAGGTTGCTAATAGGGTGCACAGCCTACAAATGATGTTGAAGATTATGCATAAGAAGACAGGCAAGAGTTACAAAGAAACCCAAACAGAGAAGTACCTCATAAGCAACAATTTTCTCCAACAGAGAAGCTGGATCATCCCATGTAATTTGATGAAGCTCTAAGGTAGCAGGACTAAGCCACGTACTCAGTTTTTCCTTTAAATAAGAATCCAATGCCCTCAGAGATGAAATATTTTCCTCTCTGTATCATTGAATATGTGAAGTATTATATTCTAACTTCCAGTAAAGAAAAGCTAAAATTTTGTCTCGTGTTTTTCTTGTTTTCTCCCCATGAATCTGCATGCACTCAATTTAATACACCTCAACATTTATTTTAAGGACCTCGCATAAAAATCCCAGTGAAAAGATTCGTAGGACAATCAAGATAAATTCTCTGAAATTGAACCTACCGAAAGTTAAAGGAAGTAATAAGTAACTCAAGATTTCTATATCTTTTGCTACTTTCATTACTAGATATTTGAATCAAACATACATGCAAAACTTCCAATAAGAGTGTGGCTCTATAAAACTTATCATCTATTCTCATGTAATGCTTGGAGAGGCCTGTATGCACATGTACAATCACCCAAAAAAACTGTTTCAAACGAGAAGTGTCTCAAGATCAACTATATCCAACAGAAATGCACTATGTCCTATTTTTCCCATTTAATTCTTGCCAACCCTGCCAAATAAAATGTTTGAAGTAAAATGCAGCACATGGATCATAACCTTACGTGAGAATGGATAAGATATCAGCACGAAGAATGGACAAAAATCTCAACCCTCCAGGGTGAGTGTTGAGACGGTCAAAGAGAACTTCATAAAGTGGCCTAAGTGCATGTCTCAAATTCCGCTCAATGCGATAGAATGAAGAAAACAAGCCCTCTTCAGAGCAGTTCCCTTGAGCTTCATCCACTGCAACTAGAATATTCCCAATCAGATTTTTGTAAACATTCATAAATTGTAATGCAAATAGTTTGTTAAATTCCACCAAAATCTCACCACAAGGAAGTTGAAGCCCAAGATACTGTTTTATCAGTTCACGAACATGTACTCTGTTCAGATCATATTCTCGGCCAAGCACAAGCAGCAACTTCCGGCGGTTTTCAATGGAAAGCTTAGAATAACCCTACATTGTCATCAGCTCATCAGAGTCAAACAAGCAATATAACAAGCGAATAAAATTACAAATTTTCACTGATTTATATAAATGAAACGCTACCTCTGAGAAATTATCAAGTGCAGTATCTAGATCTTCTGTTTTGCTCATAGAAATCGCAGAATGCATTGACGTACGAACAAGTTCAAATTCTCTGAAAGCAAATGAAAGTAACAAAAAAGAAATCAGCTTCAAAAGCGTAGCATTGAAAATGATCTCTAACCTCTTACGAAAATTCCAAGTGTTTCAAACTATGAACCTCTCACAATTGCCAGCGTCATTAATACGCATTTTACTTCCTGCTTCTGAGTCACGTTGAATAGCATGCCCAGTGGATTGGTTTTCCAGGGAATTCTGCTGCACTTGGTTCATCTCTTTCTGTCGCGCACCAATCAAATACAAGGAAAACGGAATTCAAAAATAATAACATTTGGCTGAAAAACCGAAATCATGAGCCAAATCGATTTGATAAAGATTCTAATATGCTTTGAATCAGAATGAAGTGAAAGAATTGGGCTCTAATCAGAGTAATTATCGGAATTCGGAGAAGCAACTTACAGCGAGAGGAGAAAGAGAAGGGTTGCTGGAATTGTTAGGTCTCATTCTGGCGCGCATGAGAATAGCCAAAGCTTTCTTATTCATATTTATCAGCGAAATCAAATTACCGGTAGAATCGAGCCATCGTTTCCAGCGTTCTTACTTCTTTTAGTTATAGCATCCTATCGACGCAACCACCCTTTCTTTTGCTCCTCATTTTCTTTTGGAAAATGACATTTCATGATTCTATAACAGCATTAATTATATTTAAGCACTCTAAAATTAAAAAAAAAAAAAAAATCTGACAAAACAAACTCAACACACGACCTGAGGTACTCAGATTGGAAGTCTTGAACAGATAGCCTCTTATTTAGCTTAATCAATCCGCTCAACCAATTGATCCTGGTGTTCCTGGTTACTTGCATTTATTTTGAAAAATTCAAAAATCACTTAATCTTGATCGGACTTTTGGCCCAAAGGAAAAAAAAAATTTCTCTGATGGGCCTCTTAAACAGCACTCGAACTAGAGAGCCTTGAATTGGGCCTGGCAAAATGTCAATTTAAAAAGAAACACTAATTTGTTTTCGCCTTTTTGTTTGGGAAAGATTTCTTAGTCCTTCATATAATAGTATTAATTAGCCTCAAACTTTAGTCTTTAAATGGTGTAACCTGAACGCCTGATTTAACTAGTGTAAGAGCTGTATCCTCTTAGTCAAATGTTTCAAATTCAAGTCCTTGGAATATAATGACAATAAATATTTAGTGGAAAAGCTTGTTATCTGAAAGAATTTCATAAATGCTCAGTTCTTGTTAGCCTAGACCTCATTAAGTCTCTTTAGCTCAAGTTAGATAGGCTCATAATACTGGTCATAATATGCAAGAATAAAATAATATATACAAGAGTATCATCTAATTTGAAATATTAACACAGTACAATTAATAAATATAGTGAAACACAGTGCGAAGTTGCTTCGTTTTAATATATCTATCTTCTTGTTCAAGTTTCCCAATTTTGAAATAAATTTCAATGGTGTTTATTTACTAGACCACTAAAATTTAAGATGGCTGCATAGAAAATTCCTCCATCAAGCCATATGTATAAACTTTGTCGGCAAACATGTCAAATTAATGAAGAGAAACTTGGATCATTTTGGTCGTAAGGTAGCTCACTAATTCTCAATAATTGAACTGGTCCTCAAATATGGGATGAACAAAACATTTGACATCATGTGGTTTTGATTTGTCACTTGTCCTTTTCTCGTGACTAGGACTTCAGAGTTACCAACTTCAACTTTTGACAGCATTTGAAATGATTTGTTGCAACCTTGCCTAGATTCCATCATTTTAAAAAATAAATAAATTTGCTCAACAAACAGGCCGCTAATGGAGATGGTCCTTCCTCGTAATAACAACTTGAGTCTTAGACAGTTTTGAATTGTCATGAGGAATGGTTTGGAATTTTTTTTTTTATTATTTTCATTCAAAAGGCCATAATAGATGTGTCTGTCTATCTTGAGGACCAAAGCATGCTAAATATTTGTGCCATTTCCTTTTTTTTTTTCCTCATTTTATTGTGCCTTTGGCATTATTACGCCAACCTGTAAGACAACTAACCAATATTCCCAGGACTTCCAAAAAATTCTTCATCAACATGTTTTAATTCTCATGTTGACCATCAAAAGAGGGAATTGCAAGCTGTAAGAAATTTTCTGTTGTCATATTGCTGGTTTATATGGTAAAGGTCTTAAAGAAGTAGGGTAAAATGGAGATCAAAATATAGTAATATAGTTGTGTGTGTGTGTGTGTGTGTGTGTGTGTGTGTGTGTGTGTGTGTGTGTTAATAATCATAGGGAAAATGCCCATCTAAAGTGGGGCTGTTATATTTAATCAAACTTTAACTTTGTAGGGTTAAGAGTAGAACCACAAGAAAATGCATGCATGCAGGCTTCATACTTTATTTTAATCAAAATATTAAGATAATAGGTTTATGAGGGAAAAAAATTGCCTCTTCAGCCAACACTACTTAGTGTGAAACTTCTCATTTTCTTACTGCATCATGTAAATAAATCTACCTGTAATTGGTATTCCAATAATTTCCTCAAGTGCGAATTTATCACTGCTCATACAAACATGTTTCCTTTTTCTTTGCTGAAATGAAATGAATCAAAGCATGTTTGTGTCAGGCACTTTGCGAAGATCACTAGAATGCTTCTTCTTCCAAGTTCCCAAACAGCAATGATTCCAAGAAATAGAGATAACTCTGTTCCATCCTCAAATTCCAAAATGTTTGTGATTAAATCAACAAAACAATGTCAGTGAACCATAACAAAGAGATCAATATACTCGACCCATCATTTTTTTCGGTTTCTTCACAAAACTCAGTCGAATCTGCTTGAGACGTCTTCTCTTCCTTGCCATTTTCTCAGGCAGAGTCTCTCGCTTTTTCTTCTCACTCTTCACCGGCTTTGGCTTTTTCATATACATTGCCTCTATCTTATATTCTTTCGGTGTCACAGGCAACCCCCTGCGTTGTGCTTCATTGAAAAGTACATTAGCTTTGTCAACACGATTATGAGCACATAATTTCCCCATCAGTAAGTCATAAGTTTTGATCCCAGGTTCACATCCGTCAGCTTTCATCTTCGCGAATACATGCAATGCATGATCAATTCTCTCGATGCCACACAAAATCTCCAGGAAATGGTAGTAAGCCTTCTTATCAAGAGCTTCACTAAACCCAGCAGATTTCATCCTGTCAATCATTTCATCCCCCTCTTCTAATCTTGCAGCCTGATACAAACTCTTTGTCAGAATAAGAAACGTGGTCGCATCAGGATAGCAACCCCATTCCCCGATTCTGTAAAACAACTTCATTGCATCTTCAGTTCTCCTAATCTTGCATAAATTAGTTATCAACACATTAAAAGTTTCTACATTTCTTGGAACCCCGTTATAATCCATATCGACCAGTACCTTCTCAGCTTCAGAATCAAGGCAAAATGGATCCTTTTTTCTGCAAAGCTTGCATACACAATCAAGAATGGCATTATACGCAGATGTCCCAAGTTCAAACCCTCCACGATACATTTCCCCAGCTAGTCTTCGAGCTTCGTCCAGTTTCTCATCAACACACCAACCCTTAATTAGCAGATCACAGATGCGTCCATCAGGAAAGAACTCATTTGCCAGATTCTTCACCATTTTCTCTGCATGACTTGCATATCCCTTGTCACAAAGCTTTTCCACGATTAACCTCAATGAATCATGATTACGTGGCAACCCGTAATCTGTCTCCATTCTCTCAAAAAATGAAACTGCCTGGGTGGGACGCCCCGCACGCACAAGCCGATCAATCGCAGCCTCTAAGGTTTTAGGCCCGGCAAAGGCACACCCACTGACAAGAACCTCATGGGTGGCCTTAAAGTCTTTGCGACGGCCAAAGTAGCCAACAAAATAAGACAGTGTCTCATCATTGTGGGTGAAGTTAGGGTTTGAAATTAGCCATTGGTTAAAACCTAATACTGTACGGCCGGCTTCAGTGGAGAAATTGAGGGTTTGAAGAACAAGTGTGGCAGTCGGTGTGATGTGAGAGAAGCCAAGCTGAAGGCGTTGTGTTACAGACAGAGGGTCGGAATCTGAGTCCTTGAGAAGCTCATTGGAGAGGGATTGTGCAATAGGATCTACATCTTCTGGGAGGCCATGAATTGATGATTTGGAGGGCTCTGAGGAGAAAGATCTGGAGAGAAAGAGTGGAGGTGCAGTGAAAACAGTCACAGACTGAAAATGCCTGAGGAGGGAGGAGGGGTTGGAAGTGGGTTCTGCTAGAAGTGGAAGATGAGGTTGAAGCAAATAAAATGAAGTGAAGGATGAGGATTGAGAAAAGAAGGATCGAAGAAAGATCCTTCGAAGCTGTAGAGACTGAAATGGTGGCATTGTCAAGGAGGACTCCTACAAAATGAAACAACTCATTAACCAGCTACTACAAGTACAATAAGTTAAAATGAATGCATAAATATTAACTAGCAATATTTGACTAATATAACCAGCCGCTGCAAGTATATCAAGCAAAAATGAATATATAACTATTAGCTAGCAATATTTGACAAATATAACCAGCCACTACGAGTACAACCATCAATGTAACACAAGTATAACTAGCAATACATTATAAAAATATATAACTACTTGTCAAAAACCATTAAAAAAGGAGGGAATTCAATGTTCTTACGATTATCAGTTACAATGTAACTTTCCATTATATAAGCAACCTCATTGCGGCACAGAAAAGTTCAAAATGGGGGAAAACGATACTTAAGACCCATGTGAGTTAACATCTTTCAAAAAAAAAAAAATCAAATCAAAAACTGTAGCATTTTGCAAAAAACAGGAGAACTCTTCACCTAAACATCTTTGTCAAACAAAAGCAATGCAAATTGTTCTTTATCAAGCCTCTGGATACTATAGGGCACACCATGTAGTGTTCCACGTGCTATTTTTCATCCTCAAAATCACTGCCATTCTTTTTTATCCTATTCTTTTCTATGGGGCTTGAAGCTCTCCATACTCAGAGCAAATATCCAACTGGCTTTAAAAGAAAATTTCTCATAAAGTAAAGCCAAACAGAGTCAAAAATTTGCATTGATTCAGCACGTAGGCAAATGAATACAATTATAGACACGCATGGTTAGGACTTTCACAAAACATCTAAAATGTAATAAGTAGAAAGGTTTTGCTCAGTGACAAGTTAACCAGAGAAAAGTAAGAAAAAGCTTGAGATATTTGCTCAGTGACTATGAAAGAAAGGTTTTGTGTTTATGGGTAGAGTTAGCTTCATATAACTCACTGTGCCTCGTTCTTCAAATTGCAGAAGCAGAAATGCACCAGCCGAAACATATCTCTTTCCTAAACGATGAATCAATTATCAGGTCAGAGATGATGAACTTGAAAAATTGGGTGAGGGTGTTCTATTACTCATCAAAATGAAAGTCATTAACTTCAGTAAAATCTCTGTCCTTGGCTGATTTGAACGAATTTCAAAGTTCGCCATAATCTCAACAGGTGTGATACAGGAAGAAAGGGGAAGAAGGCCATAGAAATGCAAGGATGAAAACGAGGGAAAACGTGAACAATAGGATTCTAAATGAGGGTTTGGCAGACTAAGAGCATTGAAGACAGAAATCGTAAGGCAGGAAACAAGATGCCTTACCTCACAATGATGCGGATATGGGCGACTGCGCGATGAGAGTTTGAGATGAAAAGCCAGTGACGGCGCGGAACGGAGGAAACGCGGGTGAGCACGAAGATGGCGATGTGAGAAAGAGGGTGAGCGAGACTGAGCGGCGACGCGAAAGCAAGGAGGACTAAGGAAGGAGGTTTCAAACCCCCGAGGGCTTAATATGGACATCAGTGGAATTGGAAAATTTTCTAACTACACGCCACCAAACAAACACTTCTCTCAATTTCAACTCCAATTCCATTATAATTACAATTCTATTCCCCTAACCCCAGTGTATCAAACAGGCTGCAATAAACATCAAAAGTCAGCTCAAAACACTTCCATGCAATACGTTGATGTGTTTGCATTGAAATATGTGAAACAAAAACAAGATAAAAGATAAATTGAAGTTTACAAATTAAAATTAAGTTAAAAGTTAAGTATTATAATGTAATTTATGTTTCTATATTTTTTTAGAAAAAAAAAATTAAAGTAACGAGCTAAAATTTATTTGAAAGATATAATTTAAAAACAAATTTAAATATATAATGATTGAAAAAACATGAACTTTATTATGGAGTATATTTTTATGAGATTCGACTTTCTTAAGAAAAATATTAAATTCTCAATTACAATTTTTAAAATAAAAAAAGAGTTGATATACAATTAAGAAGTATTATTTGTGAATTTTAAAACTAATTAATAAAATATAAAAATACAAACTTTTTTAATAAATCTATAATATTAAATGAAAAATTGTCGCCAATTTGATCTATAATTAATTATAAAAAATAATAAAACTATAATTATAAATTTTTATTTCAATACAAAAATATGTTATCATAATGGATGCAAATATTTTCATATTAAAAGTCATTTAAATGAAAAAGGTTAAAAGTATTAAGAAAAACTTAAAAAGGTATGGAGAAGATAAGAGCACCCAAACTTGGTACTCATCATCAGGAGTGCTCATCAATTCTCGAGCTGATTTGGGTCATCCATTTTATTTTAAAATGATCCCAACCATTCATTTTAAATTAATTATAAACAATGAATTTTATAAAATTATTTATTCAACTCTAGAAATTTGCAACTTATTCTCTCATATTGATAACTTCATTTACTATAATTTGCAACTTTATATCCCCATTTTATTTATGAATATAATCTTAATATTTATTTTTCTCATGCTTTACTTGTTCAATTTCAATAATTTGCAATTTACTTTTTCTAATTTGTAATTTTGCAACTTTGAATTCCAAATTTTATTTACAAATTTTCTCATAGGATTGATTAAATTGATAATGATTATGCTTATAATTCATATGATTGTGGGTTTGAATGCTATTAGTTGATAAAGTTGGAAATTAATTTGAGTTTAAACACAATAAATGTGAGTTTTCTCAAGAAGCCAAAGAGATAAAATTAATTTAATGATTATGCAAAACAAATCCAATAAAAAAGAACCTATGCCTCTTTAACTCTTATCTAAACCCATTTATTAGTGCACTTCCATTACTTAACATATATATACTAGGAGCTCTCTTCACATGAGTAATGCGAGACTTCTTTTTTTGACATATTTACATAGTAACTATAACAGTTTCTATATGTATAGATTCAAATTTGAATTATTTTGTTCAAGTAGAATCCAATCCCTTCTACTGCTTCTAAAGCTTGTTTATCTATAAGTATACATATAAAAGTAGAACTACAAGTAGCATTCTTTGCTTGACATGTATGCAATTTCAGGAATATTTCCATGTTAGTATTTTTTAAAAAAGCAATAATATTATTATTTTAAAATTATTAGAAACCACTTCCCCTTATCCCTAAATATTATCTTCTATGATCTAATGTATCGTCATGATTTCTCAACTAATTCATAATTTTGAATTTTAAATTTAAAAATCTTAAAAGATTTTCAGCATCATTATACACAAAGTTTTTGTAATTCTTCCACCCTTTGTTGCTTTAAGTAATTGTAATGAAACACTCCCTTAACACGTTGAGCCTTTCCTCAACATTGTCTGGAACATGGGTCGATTGTGTTTTTTTAAAATGCAAATCCAACTCTTTAGTTTCTTTTGCATTCATATCAAACTAGCTAAACACCTGCCACCTTATCGCTCTTCTTCGCTGGACATGGGTCTTAATCATTTCTTCATTGAAGTTGGGCTAGACAAGCGCCATGGCTCCATCAATTTGTTTCCCATTATAGTCAAGTGGCTTCATAGATCAATATAACCGGTAGCTAGAGAGTTGGGGTTATCTCATTCCAATTCCAGCATTGTGTCATCGTCAAGTAATTGCAAGTTTGTTCTTCTCATTGATCAACCATCATATTCATTCCAATTTTTTACAGCTTCACGTATTGATTGATATTGGTTAACCATTTGGCACAAATAAATGTTTTCTTGGAAATTACAAACAAGAGGGTAGATGGATGTCATGATTTGGCTACTCTATTCAATGTAAGTTAGTTATAATCATAATCACAATTTATTATATGACTATATATTTGCTCTTAAAGGTTTTGTTACGCATGTGAGATGATATCATTTAGTCTTGTCCATGTCACACCCCTTTTGAATTTCAAGTTATAAGTTTTTGTGATATAAGTAAGTTTTCTTTGTCATTCTCAACAATGAAGGACCATTATATATTCAGGGCCCATTGATGATAGTAATTTGCTATGACAAAACTAATGCTTTGATTTCAAAATTATTCCTCGCGTATTACTTTTTCTTAATATTTAGAGGGTGATTGTCATGTTATTCTCTTTCCAAAAATTATTAAGGTATTTAATTTTTACATGAAAAAGATTGAAAGTGTACAATTTTTCTAGATATGACCTGGATATACCATCTATTTCATATCCATCTTATTTTTAGTACAAGCATACATGATTGTTTTTATTAACACTGTAAATAATAAAATATTTATTTTATCAAGCTTACGAATAGCAAACCAATTCAATAGTTATTGGGCTATAGAGAAAGAACTTTAAGAATAATTAAGTGAAATTAGATCATATATTTGTGAAGTATTATTTTGACCTATTATATAGATCAGATTCTTTTCATGGCTTTTCCCTGTTAGATTAATTTTTGGCATTATTTTCAAATTTATTTTAAATTTAATTTATCTTAACTATGTCATGAATACCATCATTTATTTAAACTATTATTTGTATGGCCTCGACCCCATACATTGCACGGGCCACACACTATTAAAGCCCACCAATTTCAAAGAAATCAGTTCTAAAAATTATTATCTCTTTCCTCAAGTGTAAATAAAAAATCCAAGTGCCATTTTTGTGCTTCCAATAATTAAGTCAAGTTCACGGGCACACGGTGTTCCAAAAATTCTAATTAAACGGCAACTTTAGGAGGGACCCATTTCATTTCTTTAACATGGCATCTCATTATGCTATGATTTGATCTTTTTTGCCCCTTAATTTTAACACACAAGCATTTTTTCTATTAAAATCAATTATGTTTAAGAATGATTTAATAATAAATTTGACACGTCTTCTAACAAAAATTTAAAACTTAATTTATTATGTTGGTAGAGACTATCTCATTTGAGATTTTATATTCATTTTGTAAATATTAAGGATGAATAGTATTTTTATTTTGGCCCAAGTGGAGGATGAAAATTGAAATAGTTGAATTGCATATGAAATACGTCTATCTGGGCCGAGAAGTGTGATAATGCATGTGCGTGTGTATTTAACAATTCAAGAATCTATATATGACAGGTCACGTGCAGTGCATAGATGCGTGCTAGAGCCTTCAATTCGCTTCCCGACCCCAAAAATCAATTAAATAGTAACAATTATTTTATGTAGCATTAATTACTATACTCTAAATAACATAATTAAGGCGAGAAATAATAGAAAGTACGTCGGAGAGTCCTTGCATAGTCTAAAAGGGGACTAAATTGTACGTAAACGGGCATTGATGAACTATAATATTCATATATTTATGAATAGTAACTGACTAGCCGTTAGAATATAGTTGTTGAACTCGTGAACATGATGAGATCCATAAAAGTTGTATGCCGTTTGAAGGCTTTTTCATAGGGATTCTCCTCTCTCAGCAGCTTGAAGTCGGACTTTTGAAATTTAGAATGGAATAAAATGGAAAAAGAAAAAAAGAAGGTGTGATCTTATGAAAATTTTTAAAAAAATTAAACACAATTTTTTTGTGTATTATACAAAGTTTTAGATAAATCATATTATCATCACTCATGAAAATTTTGATTTAGTGTTTATTTTATATTTTATGTGATTATATGGTAAATTTGTCTCTAAACTATAAGTCCAACATCATCTGAGATTTTAAACTCATTTTTTACATAATATTTTCTTTTAACATTTTAAAATACTGTAATATTCCCTCTTACTATTAAATAAACATTAATTTTGATTGCTAGTTAACTACAAAATTATTGAAAAAACCTTAAAAACTATAGAAAATGATAAAGTTTTTGTTTTTGCCTTCTTATGCAATTGTTTAGGTAATTATTTGAAATTTTTGTGTCCTTTTATGTAATCCTTTTGATCATTTTTTATAATTTTTTAATTAATTAATTATCAAAATTAACTCTTGTTAATTAATAGTAGTGGGACACTGCTCTATTTTTTTAAAAATTAAAAGGAAACATTAAAAAAAATTAAATTTAAAGTTTCAATCACTCCTTATTAAACTATATCTTAATAATAAATTTTTTCTTTTAACCTGGTTTATATTAACATTGATGATATTCTTTAATAGAAAAACTACGATTGTTAGCCATGGCTAGGTTGTTAAGTGGCGATAATACACACACAAAAACATATCACCCAGACATTATGGTAATTTCGTATAGCACATGCAAGATGTAACGAGATATATTGGATGGCTTGATTATAAGTTTATGGGGTGCACGAAAGTTGATTAAAGTTGCTGAAAGTAAGGATGTCCGATGAGGCCTATAATATACATTGTGTGTAAATCGAACCGATCCGACTGAGTTGACCCATAAATCAATGAGTTGATCATCTAATCAATCTGATTGATTGAAAAAACCGATCACTTATGACTCAGCTTTAACTTCGTCAACATGATAGGTTAATGGGTTGACCAATTATATTTTATTTTTTAAATTTTCATTTGTTTTTTCCTTTCTTCTTTAGAATATTAAACCTCAAATCAAATATAAATT